GTCCCTTAGCTCTCACCACATCTCTGCGTAATGTTTAAGATTATATCCATTAACGTGGCGTTACACAACTACTGAAATTCTTTTTGCTGGTATAGTATTTGAGTGTTCGACAGTTAAAACGTTCTTATTAGTGAAACGTTATGGGAAAACGACTTCCAATATTATTTAAGATATTATACTGCAAACTACTGGGAAATTCAAAGCGATTATGTTTAGAGATATATGAGCAATCCGTTGAAGTGTACATGATGACATTCAGAAAGCGGTTTCGTTTAAGTAAATCCACTGTAGTAAGACACACTTGTGCCAATGGTCGACAAAGGCCCAATGAGTAAAAGAGGGCTGCGATTTTCCCCTTACTAAAAGTTCTAGTTGGCATTAAGATTTTTTATGGAACTTCATCTTTAGGTATGTTTCCAAATTTTTAACCTTTATTCATTACTGATTTATAAGATTTCAATTAATATTTTGAATTGCATATGAATAAAAGTTTGAAGTATTTAAACTGTTTTGTAAATTGATTTAATGTGATGCTATGGGGTAAACATTTTTATTACATGAATGTTAATAATTGTTACCAATATTGGCAGTCCTATCTTCAAACCATTTACAATTATTATATTAGAGCATAAGTTAACGTTGTGGCTATATTGAAACGATGTAGTATTATATTACAAATCAAATAATGCAGCATAATAATACTGTGATGCACAAGACATGAAGCGATTTCATTAAAATTTTAATGAGGTTCATGGGATTATATTTTTACAAACATTTCTTATTGTTAGGGATGGTGGAAATACATTTTTTAAATATTAAATATTACTATTGTCAAGTCGCATAATCAAAATTAACAATAATATAGATTATATGGTTATATGTCTTGTTGTTAGCGATTGGCAGTATACTCATTATAAATATTACATATCAAAAACATTTGTTTTTGTCTGTGTGCAGACATGTTAGAAGTAATAGAAATCTCATGAGTTAAACAAGTTTGAAAAATTTTACAACCTAATTATACGATAATACACTTTATGATGTGAATGGACAACTGGTTTGAAACCCGCCAAGTTTTTAACGCCTAATTTGGGTCATACAGAAAAGTAGAGATATGCAATTCTTTCAAACTTATTGCTGGCAGTGTGATCTCATTAATATGGTCATTTTAGCGTTCAAAGTTTCCCTTTTTTTATTTCACAATGTAACCTTAATACTACCGCATATAAGAAATGTCTGCCGTATTGGTTGTTTATTAATGCAATGCATAAATGAAGCTGTAAATATTTATTGAATGATTGACTATGTTAATTATGAATTTCACATTGTTTTTGTGCTGATTTGTAATGACATTAGCCAGTCAATCTGTATGCCGGATAATTTGGTGAAGTGTCAGAGACCTTTGCACGACATCAGCAAGTATATTAAGTTACCAGCTGAACTCCAGTCTCAACTATTTAAAATTTACAATTTTGTAGGAAAGCTGGTTTTCCCAGGAGTAGTGGGAGTAATTGATGGAACGCACATTCCATAAAAAGTCTGGGCGGCGCGCAATGCCGCGATTTTCCCGGCAACAAAAAGCATATTTTTTTCAATTAAATGTGCAAATTGTTGGGGCCCACGAGGAATATTAGATATTGTAGTGAGTTGGCAGAGATTTGCCCCCATGATAGCAGAATATTTGAAACAGTGCTGTGGTGTACTCTCAGTGAAGGACAGTAAGCTGGGATCTGCTTGGGGAAGTGGTATGCCACAGAATTATTTATACCCTGTCAAAATTCAAGGAATGCTCTGAACAAAATTATAACAGGGACTGAAAACACCGAGAAGTAGTGTGGAAAGGTTGATTGGAGTATGGAAAGAAGGTTCCTTGTTTGTATTTTAGAAATGCAGAACATAGGTTTAAAAAACATTACAAGAATTATAAACTGCTTGTGCAGTTCTTTACATATTGGTATTGAAAATTGTGATTTTGTGGAATCTGATGAAGGTGATGTTGAAAAGGAAAATATTGAGGTGGAAAACCAGCTGTACCTGAAAATTGCAATTCAATGTGATAAAGCAAAGCTTTCATAAACTTATTTTACATATTAATTTATTTTGTATAATATTACAATAATTTTTTTTTTTACTCTTTTTTAATTTTTTTCAATCTCTAGCTCCTATACTTCTCTCCTGAATTGTTCTCAGTTTTTGCACATTTTCCAATTTCTCTTGAAGGGCTCATTTTCCAAGTTTTTGTAATTTAAATTTGTTCTTGAAATTTCACTTTGCCATCACAAGCTCACAACGAGCTTGCGCTTCGTTTTCCTAAGTTCCAGCTACTACTCTTCTAAATATTAAATAGGACGCTTTTTTCTATTCTTAACTTTGCTTTAGTTAAAAAGACTCGTTTTTTGAGTGCTGGGAGTGGTGGGAGCTTCTTTATTCTGAAACTGAGACTAGGCTTGGTATTTGCAACATTCACTATAAGAAAGTACAGTACTGGCGATTATTTACATGTGTTCATCATACAATTTACTTACCTCCAAGAAAGAAAACACTTCCGTTTACTTCGAATAATCACCACACACTTACGAACTTACTACAGACACAACCACTCTCTAACGCGAAAACACAAAAACTGAGAGAGATGTGGTCGCAGCGCTCGACGTCAACTCAACGTTGAAGTATCCGCCCCCTGGTAAATTCAACGCTCTTTGAACAAGATGAAGTGCGTGTGTAAACTCGGTTGCTAAGAACTACGAAACAGCTGCCGCCAATGCCATGTTGCCACATTTACCTTCCACTTAAGGGAACACTCATTCCGCGGTCTTAAGGAACGTTTATGAAATACGAGCGCCTATAAGGGAACACTTATTTTGAGAAAGCTCTTATCACTTAAGGGTTCGCTTATCCTATAAGTGACGACTATGAATTCGGCCCTACAAGTTGTAATTGAGACAAATTCACTTTTCCTTTAAAATAATAGCAACTGGAAATTGGCAGTGCTTAACCAACTCCCTTTGCCCAACTTTACTTCCCAATTGAGGGAAGTAAATATGTGGCAGCACTAACATGCTTTACCCATACTACTTCAAATTCAACGGAAATATGTTAACTGTGTTGGCAAACCATTACTGCTCAAGGAAAAACAAGTTTAAGAATAATATTTGTTTGTTAAACAATAATTGTTTGTTTCAGAATCATGCACATAATTACTCAATAACATTACTTATACTCCATAATTCATGAAGCGGTAAGACATACACAATTCATGCAATGAATGCATTGTGCTCCCATAGTTCTATTATGGATTTTTCCCTTTTCAATCACAAAAGCACTTGCATATGAAAAAGTGTAAAAACTTTTTACTTTATTTAAAAAAGATGAATGGCTACTCACATCATCTTTATTGTCTTCTTCTTTTACTGAATGTTGTAAAAATGTTGGAGATTCAGCTGTTGCCTAAGAAAACAAAAACATTGCTCATTAAAATCAGGATTGCATATTGTGATGTATCTAAAATCATGTCAACTAGAGATGTGGTGAAAAAGTAATCCTCCTGAAAATTAACTGGTATTTAAAAAGTGAACTCGCATACACAGTTTGTTCATTCTCATTCCAGAAAACGTGAAAATAAGGAGTTACTTTCTCAAGGATTTTTCACACACAAGAGGAGCATTCTTGATCTTCTTTCCATGCAAGCCAATCTGTTTCTTAGATAACTGTTACAATCTGTAACAATTATTGCACAAACTAGTCTTACATCATTGAATATGTAAGGGATCTGGTTGACAATTCAAATCGCCTGATTTATTTTAACAAATCTCAGCTTTAAATCAAAAGCTTCTAAAGGTCTAGCTTAGAATTCTTAGAAGCAAAGTAAAGTATTTTTCTTATTCGTGTTTTGTCACATTTCAATGTTTTATTACATTCCAGAATTGTCATTTATTACTAACATTTATTAAAACAAAGAAGTTTGGGTTATTTAAACTCCTAGAAATAAGGCAAAGCCACATATCTCGATTTGCAATTAGCTGCATTATGCCCCATTTAAGTACCATGTTACTTCATTGGAGCACGATATGAGTAATGGTGTGCAAGTAACATTCATTATTAACCCTAGCAATACTTAGGTATAAATGATCTTGGGAATTTCCGAGGAAGGGTCTCTGGAGTCCACTCCTAAAGTTCGCTTTTACTGATGTTTTTCATAATTTCCAAAAACTAATCAATTAATATAACTAATACTAAACATGTGTGTTCATTTAAACAAAAAACTTTATTCAACTTCTGGCTTTATAAATGCAAAAGAAAATTAATATTCCCTCATCTATACTTGTATTTAATGTAAAATACCTTTTCCTATATATTTTGCATATAATGGCTCGTGTATCTTTCAAGCATAGTTATGTAATGAACTGTATTCTATTACAGCTTAAAATATCATTATTTCTGATGTGTGTTTCAATGATCAGTTTTCATTTGAAGAGACCTGTACATTTTTAACTCACAGCCAAGAGGCTGCAATAATGCAAATTCAAATTCTCAGGGAAATCACCTCGCCTCATGGTAAATTGTATCAATATCTGAACAATCACTGCATGAACATGAATTGAAACAATGATTTCCTACATCCTAATAAAAAATTTTACCTTAAAAAGCTATCAAATATCATCAATGGTCTCCAAGATAGAGTTCTTTTAACACTTTTGTTTCCAGAAATGCATCTTTTCATCCTGTACTTAAATACATTACAAAACACGCATAATACCAATAATTGGACAACAATTTACTACTAATCAGCTAGCTAGATCTAACTTAGGATTCAACACCAAAAAGACATGGATTTTCACTGTCATCTCCACTGCCAAATCCTTGCCTTTGTTCAACAATAACAGCAACAGTACCCACCGCTGCAAACATGCCACCAAATTGAGATACATTGAGGATTTTTATTCATCATTATGAAGTTTTTGAAAGGAAAACTTGCAATCACTGGCAGGAATGGAGTCACTGGTAGAGATGTTGCTAAAATTAACAGTCTGGCAGTAATAAACACTTTTCATGGCAAGTTGCAATCATCAGGAATGCTAGAAATCCTTGCATCCTCAGGAAATGAGTAAGCCACAACTGTTCACAAAGCAGCACAGAAGAGGGAAACAAGAGACAAAATTCAGGCACTCAGTTCTGATACACAAGAAGCATCACAGGTAGAGTAAATGGTACTTGCACAAATCAAGAATAGTTGTTTAATTGAGACATGTTGTATCATTATCACATTTGTAATAAACCTGGTTACACAAGTAGAAATTAAAAACATGAGAAGTCAGTTGAGTATGATGTTCCAGAAAAAGGGGTTGAACTCATTCAGAATGATAAAAAAAATCCTAACAAAAAATTGAAAGTTTTTCTTTTACACATCGTTGGCGAAAATCAAACAAATACTACACAGCAACCAAATTATCTCTTCCAAAAAGATATTTGAAAATATCTTCGATGAAGAAATTTGTGAAAGTTCTTTGAACTTTGACAAAGGAATATGACAAACGTATTACATTTTGTCAAATAGTTTATGTAGTTTTGCTCGCAATTCTAGATGGATGACACACAAATAGTTGTTTCTGAGGTAAATAAACACCATCTGCATTTGCACTGCACACACACAATTTGAATCATTACAATTATAATTATTATTGTAATTATTATTATATTATTATTACTATTATTATTATTATTATATTATTATATTATTATTATTATTATTACTATTATTATTATTATTATCATCATCATTATTATTATTATTATAATTATTTTATGCTTCAGGGTCTAGAAAGCAGAAGTATGGCACCTAATGGAGATTAATTGTACTCAAGACAAAGAGAAATTAATACTTCTCAATCCAATTACATCTAACACTAAGTGGGAGCGACCCTCAACACCATGAAAAAAAGGTGGGGTGTCCATTAAAATATGTAACATCATTAAGCTTAATGTATAAGCAATGCTCATAAGCATAATGTCATAATAAATGTAACTTAACAACTGACATCAATACTATAAACAGATACACTAAAACTTCCTACCCCATATGCACACAAAATGTAAAGACAACATTCACCCATAATTACTTATTTTTCTTCTAGTTCTGCTACATAGAACAATATTCTTGAATTTGATATAACATTAAATGCCTGAATATTTTTTGTGAATATCTCAAAGTCAAGAATTTTCATTAGATCATATCATTAACACTACTACAAAACAAACTCACAATGGAATTCCTGCAATAGTCCTCTGTCTTGTCAACTGACTCTTCTTTGATCTGGACATAACAGAAGAAAACAGTCAATTAAAAGTTTATCAAAAAAATGAAAATCCTCACAGGTACACGATTTCTCAGGAGGCAGAAAAACAGCTTACATTCAGAGTGATAAGACCTAGTAAACTGATTTTCTCTGTGCTTAAACTTTACGAGTATAAAATAAATGAAACACATGCAAAATATACAAGATTTTTTAAAATATTGTTTTCAAATTCATGAAGTTGTACACTACGAAATCTATCTAATGCGATTGTAAGCTGCGGTTCTGGCAAAAGTGTATTCTGACATATTAAATTGTTTCAAATAGAATTTTGTCCAGCACAGAAAGAAACAATGATTCCTTGAGATTCTGCAATGAACGAGTTCACACCTATTAAATGTTTTCTATTCATACATTTTCACCATTTAATATGAAATGTATTCTTTTGAACTGTTGTCCTGGATTCTTTTAAAACTTAATATAAATTATTTTGAAACATTTTTGCCTGCTATTTCTTTTTTACAATAGCGTTATTAATACACAATTGCTAAGTGGAAAATCTAAAATAAATTTCTTCAGTGTTCTTCTCGACACAGTGCTGGATTAACCAATAGGAAGTACTAAGCAACTGTCTAGGGATCCATGCCAGACAAAGGCTCCAACAACATTTTTTAAAACACTTGTTTCAATAATTAAATGAGTCAGACCCTTCATTTGTGTAACCACATGTTATTTTTCGAGACACTATCCAATTGAAAGACAACAGAATGAAAACAAAAAGGGAGTACATTTTAAATACAGAAAACACTATATATTTTATTATTGCACACAAAGTTACTTTTTTGTTAACAAATTTTCCAAACTTCAAAAATGTAATAAAATATTATCCATTCTTTTTATATGTTAATGCATAAATTCACAATGCATTCCCAATAAAGTAATATTGTGAGAAGGAAGCATAACGGGGCAGAGATCCTCTCATTCGCAATTGTCCAGAGCCCTATGCATCAATCGACGAGTCTTCACCCATCAACATCAATACAAGTTGCGTATGAAATTCACTAATTGCAAAAATGTTTTGAAATCAAAGAATCCAAAAGTTTGTTTGCTTTTCTTGCCAAAATCGGTAACAGTATGCATATAAGCATGCATATAAATTTTAAAAAAAATATCGAGGAGCTCTTATAAATAGCATGGTTTTCGAAAATTTGTGACTTTTGCAATTACTTTTAAGTTTTACAAGTCATGCGTAAACATGTAAAACATACAATAACTACTTACGTCTTCTATTTTTATACTACTTTCCGATAAAAGACGTATCTCTCCAGTAGCCATCAGAACTTGTGAACTTTACTATTTTAATATTAGAATTTTCACTATTAAACGATCTATTACAGAACACCGGACTTAAACAAAAGCTAGCCCACAGACCGCAAAAGACCACCCACTTTAACTAGACTGTGATTTATGCTTCTCTGCCCCTGGTAGGTATCAGCGGTTGACAGTTTTATCCAATCGGGAACTTGGACGACACGACAAAGACGTCGTATATTGACTTTGGAGCCACCAATTGGATGAAAAGTCAACAGCTGAATCTTCCAGGAGCAGAGTTGCGAAAATCGCAGTATAGATCCGCGACGCCATTAGATGACTCTGGCGCCATTGTGGTGCTTTGGGAAACTATTACGAGCCGATCCGACAGCTTTCCGTCGTGGTTCTCTCTGTTCCGCTCGTGCAGCCTTTTGGTTGGTCAACGTCCTGTCTTTGGAAAAGCGCGCGGCTTCCAACTCTCTGACATCTCTTCCAATGTAACGTGGTACAACGAAATACAACGCAATACAATGCTCTCGTGGTTAAGTCGCTTGCCTTTTCCCACCGAGATTCCGGATTCAATTCCCGTAGAACCTCATGTGAAACGAGATTGCATGCTTCACACGGACTAGTCCAACCCCTGTGAAGGGTCCTAAACCCTACCCCTATCCTACTTCCTTCCCTATTCTGGCCGCTGAGTATAATAAGACCAAGACGCATACGCGGAGATGCTTCTTTGTGGTCCTCTTGACAGTGACGGATATGACATTGACATATTAATGGAGGATTACTACCGCACTGATATTAATCTGATAATAATGGAGGATCACTCCGAAAGTGAAAAGCTCTCAAACAAAAGCAACCTTTTTTTTTTTCAATTGAAAATATCTTTTAATGGATCAATATACCGAAGTTTCAGGTTTTCAAATAAAAATTTTGTAAGAAATGACCAAGATTAGCAAAAGTTGTTGAAATCATTGCTAAATAAATATCTATTTACTAAAAATAAAATAAAAACATTCAGATATTCTTTGAATCTCCACCCATTAGCATACTCATAAAAGATAAAAAGGTTTCTTCCACCCCCAGAGAAAAATAATTAATGACAAAGACAATTAATGGCAATTAATGGCAACAATTAATGGCAAGGACAAAGTAACAAGCATTTGAAATACATTTTCCCCTTCCAAACAAAGAATTCATAAAATACAAAAATATTCAAATAATTGTTTGTGTAGTCTGAAATCAGTCAATCACATTTCAAACATTTCCATCAACATATTTGTTACCCAATAAAACAGAATTAATAGTGATGCCCAAAAAATTATATATTTTTTATCCCCTTTATCTCTACTGAGCATTTAAAACTCTTTTGGGCAAAGTGGTCTTGTAGTTTATTCCAGATTCTTTGAAATTCTTCAAATAAAATTGTCCATTGTATTATGAATCATCCAATGCATAAATGTTCCTATCAGTGGAAAAAAATCTTTATTGCTGTAAAAAAATTATTTAAATGTATTTTAACATATTACCTTGGGTTCTTCACATATTGTATAATAATTTATTTTGTAATTTAATACAGTCAAACTTATATATTTGTGAATTATTTCACACTATATTTTTAAAATTGTCATTTAGGCTATAAATTTATTGACAATTCAATGCAAATTAGGAAACGCTAAACACCTATTAAAACCATTCAAATCCATTAATTTTATTGAGAGATCAAAGTAGATAATTCTGAGCTATTTGCTTTAGAATTGAATATCAACATAATAAAATATTTTTCAGACTGCTGAATTTTACTAAATTTTTTTTTTGGTTTCATTGATATCAACAATTACTGGGAAAAAATTAAAGAATGTGTATGTACTAATTTGTAAGTTACAGAGAAAACAAATTGGAAAAATTATTTATTTGAATTGATGTATAGATCAATAAACAATAACATCTTGAAATTCAAAAACCCTAATTTTTATACTTTATTCCAAGAAAATCCATTCATTAACATACCTAGAGTGTCTCTCAACTATTTAAAGATGGATTTAGTACATTACAAATAGAAATAAAGTCTGACAAATTGTGATAAAGCCAGTTTGTTCAACATTTTCAATATATGAAATGATAATTCTGATTAATCCTAATTAAAGAAATACAGCTTAAAATTAATATGTCCAACATTGTTTTATTCATTTATATTTATGAATATTAATATTAATTGAACATTTTCACGAAACATC